ATGACGTTTTGTGACATATGATTTAATTTCAGTGCATAACCGGTACATAATCAGTCTTGTGGTGTGGTGGTGGCAAGTTGACACAGAATTTTCAAAACATATTGAATACTCTTGCCATTTTGGGTTGTCGTTTCAAAGTAAGTTATCCTGAAATGTTATGTTTATATTTATATTGAAATGCTGTAGATTTTACATCTAAAATATACAACATTTCAATTGTGTGTGTTTGTAGGGATTGTTTGGTCAAATCAAAAGGGCTGTTCATATTATATTTTTTAAAAGTAAGTGAAGTGTGAACTCGCTGTGCCTGTATTAAGTACTATCTTAGTACTTGCTAGAGAAGTGTGATCTCGCTATAATATTTATACTAGCAAAGTGTGAACTCATTATATTTTTATACTTTATATAGCGAAGTGTCATCTTGCTCACTGGGCAATCGTCAATCTCGTACCCAGAGCCATCATTGAGTGGCTCTGGCCACACAAGTTGAGTTAATTAGAAAATACGGTAAAAGTACAGTATTTTCCAATTAACTATTTCATACCCATTCTCCGGGAATTCGCTCGCGCCGTAGTATTTTCAAGAGGAGTGGAGAGCTAACTTTTTGCTGAAAATATCAATAAAATCACAATTTTTTCCCGTCAAAAGCATTAAAATATGTTCGGCGCAGTTTGTGTGAACAAGGATACTGAGTGCACATGTGATTTCCGTTTTACAAGTAATTTGAGATGATTGAAACACCGGCTTGTACACATGTCGATCAACACTCATATGAAGTCATTGATCATTTATTTTGTCTCAAATGGCTTCTATTTCCTTCAAAATGTTCCGATTTCTTCTTAAGGTATAAGTACGTTTAATTATTTGTTATATAAATGTAATTTAATGAGATAAGAAGATATTGTGTACCCCCTCAAAATGCAGCAGATTTTCAGAAATTCTATAGCATCCTGTGAGCTGATCATACCCAGTATTTATTACCATTATACATGCATTATTATGAATCTATCATACCTAGGGAATTTAAAACCAAATATTATTCTTCATACAATGATAAAATAAAGATATTTTTCTTAATAAAGAAGGACTGTACTGCTGTAGCACTTGAGCAAAAGCCTGTACTAGTACTATACTAGTGTGTGTTTAATGGTTGAATATTTTATAACTTTAGTATTACATTTCTTTCAGATACACCTGGGACTGTGTACATATGATAATCTTTTTATTATGCCAATACCAGTACATCCAGAAACAATGGAAACCAGTTTCAAGTCAAAATTATACAGTTCTGTATTCTGGAACAGTAAACAGCTTGGCATGTTGCATTATAATGAAGAGTTTAATATAATGAAATACTCAAGAAAGAATAGTATTGTTGGAGAAGTGGCATTGCTCATTAGTTATGCGATAAAAAGTAGTTAGGTTAAAGCATAGTTAGTATAACGAGAGGGTTTGGAAGGCCGGCAAACTTCAAAGGATCAAGCGCCCACTCATGAGCTGAACTTGATAAGGTACATCATGTGACAGTTATAGTGCATCAAGGAGTGATTTCATAATAGAATCTCTACTGACGATTATGAAAAAGCTGGTTTTTTCGCCGGTTATGATACGTTTAGATGAAAGCCGAATTTGGATCACTAATTGTGTTCGCAAAAGGCAACTACTGAGGCATTTTTACGCTCCATTAGTTAATCGGATGTCTTTGTGTATAGTATCAACAGGGTGTCATTGTGATAGCTATCGTGTTACCAGTCGAACATGCTGCAGACTGCTGGCAAATTTCTGTTGTAAGGTCGGATAAAACTATCGTTCTAAGGTTTGGAAACATGGACTCAGATAATGAAAACGTTCCTGAGCGCCTTGTTGCCTGTTGTTCGGATTTTGAAGGCGATTTTGATCAAACTATCGCGCTTGTTGAGATGTAAGTAGATGAACTTCACATCGAAGTTGAAAACTCACTGGAAGAGGTATTACATGTAAACAGTTTTTATTTACTATAAAAGACAGCACTCACAGCAGTATTTTCTTTGTTTAATTTGTATTATGATATAGTTTTCTCTTAAATTAATCTCATACTTCGGTTGTAGGTAGAAGGAAAGAAGCAATTTCCTTGCAGCTTTTGTGAAAAGGTGTGCAAATCCAAAGGGGGCCTGATGAAGCACCAATGAAGCAAGCATGCCGCAGAATTGGGTGAATGTTCATCTTCCTCTGTAGATGTCATTGTAACAAAAGAAAAGATGGCTTCTCTAATCCGTGACATTGGTCGATATTTAGTTGATGAGAAACTTTATAGAAAGGAACATTCAGCATAAGTGTTTAAGCTCGAACCTAGTGATTCATTTGTCAGCTTCATCAATCAACTATTGTTGAAATATAAAAGGAAAAAGAATCAAGATAAATTACTTAAAGAATTTTATGGGAATACCAATTCAAATTGGAAGGAATATTTTCATCCATATGAAGAAAAGAAGTTTGTTTTCCTTATGTTAATTCATCTCCCTGAACGGCTAATTGGGTTGCTTAAGGGAAAGCCAGGTGACCAAGGAACATCCGAGGTACTAGTTGTTTTTATTTCTAATGTCCATCAAAAACATTATTCTGTTTTTTTTCAATTTGCTGTATGTACAGATTTTGAATTGCTAATGTTACTGTGCTTGGCTTTATTGCTATGTGGATGAAAATGTCCAGCATATGAATGTTATATTGGTTAGGGTGTCCTTCTTTATATAAAAACAACATCTTAGGGGCTGTTTATATGAGCCCAGTTAACTAGCTAGCCCGGGTCATGTGATTGTTTAGGAGCTTACTGTGGTTTTAAAGCCCACATAAACTAATTTCAAAAAGAAGCATTGGTTTAGTCAAGATGTGAACAAATCTAACGTTAATTCAAATCTCCTTTTGCAGACAAGGAAAGAACTTCATGACCTGAGCTAGCCCGGTTGGTTAACCAGGCTCATATAAACAGCCTCTTAGCAATTTCATGTATAATAATAAAACAGGTGTTGTATACCTTATTTTGGTCATCACTTTAATCTGTTAAACTGATTCTTAGGAAGAGCTGGCCTTGTCTCCTCAGGAATATGGACCATTGTCCTACCCCGCTGGTTATGTTGTTCGGTCTTTGTACCAAAAGAGCAAAAACAGTTCAAGATGCAATACACCTCGTAACAAAGAAATACAAGGCTTGATGTCATCAATGCGAGAGGAAACAGAGGCAAACCCATATGTTGCTTCTTTGTCAAGAGGTGGACTTTGGACACCTAATTCATGGGTCATTAGTATTACAGAGGTATCAGAGTTAGTGTTTAGAAAGCACACAAGTAAAGACAAGGTCACTCGTCTACCAGTAGACAAAATAGTGAGTGAAGTAATAGCTTCTCCCCTTGTGAAAAACTTGTGGTGCAACATTATTCAAAGTTGTGATGTACAAATTTCAAAAGAATGCCAATCTTTATGTTTAGAAAATGTTGTAAAATTATATGTTACTGTTCGCTGTTTTCTTTTGCTAAGGATATTGTTAATAAATATAAACTAAGTCAAGGTAGCCAGAAAAAGAAAGCTTTACGTAAAGACCTAAAGATAGCCAGTGAAGATATGTAAATATTTAAACCAAATCATGATGTCAAAATTTTCATTAAGTGTACAGAAAGTAGTCTTTTTACCATGTCTAGCATGCATTTATTGCAAAGAATGGTATATTGGTCATTATCCCTCATTCACCAAGAACTGTATATGTCAGCTTGTGAAAATTTTGAGAATTATGATTGTACTATAACACAGTATTGTAAGCACTGCACTGTAATGACTGTATTAATTAGATAAATCTTCAAATTCTCATGTACTGTATGTAACTTTTACTGTATATTTTGATTCTGAGGTAAATCTTTTTCATAAATACAATATATGACACAGCTGAATTCACCTGGTGACACGTGTTACAAAATCATTTAACAAATTTGACACAGTAAAAGGTTCATATGTCACATACTTTGTGCTTTGCATATTATCACAGACAATAATCTCTATATTAAGCTTCTGAAAGCCTTTTTCCAGTCATCTTTTATTCTTTATGAACCCTAGAGGATCCTTCAAGCAACAAGTGAAATTGTTTGGCATCTACCAGAGAGTAAAATGCAAAAGTGACAGTGGTTGTTGGGGTTAAGCATACACTGTACTTATCAAGCATATTACAATGTATGTTTGATGATTATTTATGTAAACAAGAATATTGAAAGCATATTGAGCAGATAGAATAGGAGCTTAATTTTGACGAGAGAACCTTTATAGAGAGATCACAGTGTGAAGGTATCAAGTTGTGAATATAGTAATATTGCTATACAAGCCTATCCCTGTGCTACCAGTGCTACCAAAAACCAATATATATACATATACAACTAATATTTATTGCAGTTTTACCCAATGGTTTTGTTTCCATGTTTGCCTTATTTTGCCCAATGGTATTTTAATATTTGACTTGATTGAAAATCTATCCTTAGCCCTATTACCAGTGATCTCATAGTAGATCAGTGCCTATTACACAGAAACCACTAGTTAGAAAATAACACATGAAAATGAGGATATTGGGTAAAAATGCAATAAACGGTAAGGTCTATTGTCACAAGTGCAAGCTAACATTTGCAAAATTTAAAGTTAAAATAGTGTTATACTTTTACGGTATAAACTTGTTTTATCCATCAGTTTTTATTCATAATACGTACAACTGACACTCCCAAAATTTGTTTGGTGCACTTGCACATGTAGTTAATTGAAGTGGACATAATTTGCAATATGCACTGTTCTCACTATTAGTAGCTTTCAATTTACTGCCACTCATAGAAAATTTGGGGAGTGTTTTTTCAACACACAGTCTCCAAATACACAAATAATTTGGCAATATTATTTTAATAAAATTGGTGACTGCCTGTCATACAATTTAATTTTGATACCTTTCAGTTTCATCCCTGATACAGTATTTTAATACAGTACTCAAAGCAAACAGTTTAATCTTGTTTCTTTGCAGTTGCTTTTCTCTTGGGAAGAGGTTCTTGACTCACATCATACCACTTACTTCTCTTACCAGAGTGTCGACCAGAGACATTTCCTTTGATCGAGTGGGGTGCAACATCTCTGAGGGTGGCAATTTTTAAGTCGTTGTAGCCAAACTCAGCAGCTGTGGGGTTGTCACTTCTCCGCCCTTGTGCACGTTGGTAGCCAAAGTACTCTTCAACATCATCTTGGCAAAAGCGTTCTGTGAGCACAAACTCAAATCCTTCACTCAACAAAAATTTTGTCACTGCGATGGCTGAAGTAACTGTCAGCTTTAGTCCATTGAATGTTTGTATGCTCAGAAACATACGTCCTCTGTCATCTTCTGAAAAATCCCCTTCTCTCAATTCGCTTGATGATTTCCAACTTTTCAGGTATTCCAGAAATACATTTTGCAGCCAATGGAATCGCTCATCACTCACAGTACGGTATGGGGCAAGTAAAGCATTGCGTTTTCTTTGATGCTCGGTTGTGGAACGTACATTTAAACAATCAAAGAAATCGTTCATCATTTTGCACAACGTAGCAGTTTCCTGTGCTTCCCCCGATGGAAAATGACGTTGAAGAGCTTGGGCAACCGCATTGCTCAACACCTGAACTGCCAAGCTGACTTTCATCTTTGAATAAGATTTCAACAAAATGTGGTCTACTGTCAACTTTGGCAATTGATGTAAACCACTGTCGAGATCTGAGTAATAGAGCTGGGCAACATGATCCCATAGCATATATCTACCATTGTTCCACATATATCTTGTTCGCTTACCACTACCAGAATTGAAGAGACAGTTTCTTGTCGTCTTTAACAAATGTGGAGCATCGGAGAAAAAGTAGATATTTCCGCTTGGAGCGAAGAGGTTGGGTGTGTAATTTATCACATCATCACAGCCGGGTTCTACCAAATCAGCGTGCAGTTGATAAAAAAGACGATTAGGTGAAGCTCCATCAGACACAGCTGCAATGACCCAGAGATTACACTCCAGCTCAAGCACTGACACTGCTTTCCAAAACAGGGGCATAATCTGGTAGGAGGTGACATCTTTGGTCAGAAAGTAACCAAGGACGTACTTCAAATCACTAGCAGCACCACGTACAAAGAATACCAGGGCATGTGTTGCTAGGTCAGATGATCCACTACTTAGATTCAACTCCTCTTCTCCAAGATCTACAAAGCCAATGAGCTCATTGGAATGCTTATCAAAGACCAGCTTTGACTGAATTTTCATTTCATCAAATGAAAGGACAACATACCGCTGGATGTCAAAATACTGACTTGCTTGATTCTTCAGCCTCTCAATATTATCAGGATTAAAACCTGCCCTTGGTTTGAAAAAATTTCGGTAGTCTCTTAATGTTCGTTCACTAGGCAGAACCAAAATACCCGAATCTCGCAGTTCTCTATATGCTGCTGGAGACTTTGCATGAACAGACAGGCAAAAACGTATGATGTGAGGGTGGTACCTTCTTCCAAATTTTGGCATTGCTAATAGTTTCCTTTGCTGTTCCCAGAAAACTTTCATGTGGGGGTAACGTCTGCAGAACTGTCAGCAAGAATAGCCAAGATATCTTTTTCCATTGTTTCGTCAATCGAGATACTGTTCTGTTCAATTTCTTTCTCCAGTTCAACTATCCGACCTTCAAGTTCTTTACAGACCAACCTTTGTTTCTGAACAGTTGTAACCAACCTTTCTTTACTTGAAATAGACAGAGGTGCATTAGCTTTGAGAGGCTCAAGTGTCTGCTTGGCTTTACTTTCTTTCATTTTCCCAAGGGTACTCTCTAGCTTGCTGCAACTGGGACATGCAATGTCACTACAAAGCAACTCACAATTTTCAGATCGGATGTAAACATGTGCCTGAAATGGTGGACCATCCTCTTCATAGTGCTTTCGCTCAATGGGGATGGTATGCTTCATTACACTGCTGGGACCAGATATTGGAGTGGGATCTTCACATAGGGCATTGATATGTTCCTCTTTACTCAGGCCTTCACAAATTTGAGCTGTTTCCAAAGTGGACAGTATAGTGGAGATGGAGGTATACTTCAGAGATCTTTTGTGGTCATTGTAGATGGAATGGTCATCAGGTAAAACCCAGTTATATACCGCAACAGAAAAACTAAGCTCAGAAGCAACTGACAAAGAAAATTTAGGTAGGATGAAAGGTAAGATATAATATTCAAATACCACACTGTCCTCGTCTTCTATTTTGGACCATCCTTTTAACTTTAGTGGCAAGATCTTTCTCTTAAACTGGTCCAAGTTTTGATAAATTACTGGAACAGGGAGATTAATTGGCTGCCGGATTACTTCGTGCCTTGGTGTCACAGGAGTGGCTGCAATGCTTTTCACAGGTAAATTAAGGGTAGGGATTGCTCCACGAACTAATCTCTTCCGACTGGAAACTACAAAGATAAAGACCTAAATTGTAATAGATACATTGAGTTGCAACATATAGGTTGCAATTAACCATATATATAGTGCACTCAGTATTTCACTTACAGCAGTCACTATCAATAAGTAATCCGCTAAGCTTTAGTGTTCCATCATACAATCATACACTTTTCCTTATTGTTATAAAAGGACTTCAAAAATGTTTTAAGATATCCCTTGACAATGAACAGGTTTGAAAACCCAATAATTTCTACATTGATATACTGACTCTCTCTCTCTCGTCACTGCCATATTAAAATTGTTAGCATAAGATTTGAACAAACTGATACCTTAAATTATGTCGTAGAGTTAAAATTCGCTGTTAACAGTATAAATGACTACAAGCAAAGCGTGAAACCAAACACCATGCTTGAAAATAGTTACACTCAATGTATCAAAACCTCAGTTTAAAATACTGCCTCCTTGTTTTTGTTTATACGAGTTCATATTATATGTTTTACCTTCTTATAACGCATTGTCTTAATTAATTCATGGCATGAAATGTAAATGAGCATTCACATTCCCATAGTAATTTGAAATGGAAATGAACTTAGTAATTTTCAAACAAAGGTCTATTGTCAGAACTCTAGGGTCTATATATGTGCAAATACTGTATTTATTTGCACTTTATAGTATGCTTTACTGGTTAATGTCGCATGAAGCGAGAATTAAAAAGCGGGTATAACTTACGGCGATCATATTCTTCTCCCTTAAAGTGTTTTTCGCAGACATACAAGCTTCCACTGTCGATTTGTCGTCGCAAGCTTTTGTCTATAACGCAGTCCTTCGTTATAATCTTCAGCCATGCTTCACGGGTTCTCTTCGATATTTCGTCTTCTCCAGACGGAATTCGGAAAATTCCGATTCCAACATGCTTTCGACTTGTCCCACAGCCGAATATGGAGCAATTCGCTCCTGGCATCGCTCAAAAAATGATCGAAAGTGATGTTTTTCGCTTCGTTTAGTTTGCGCTCTGTAGTATTTCTATATGTCAACACCTCTTCGCATGCACTATCGGATCCACGTGACTGAGAACAATAAGTTATTTTGTCATGTGACCCGGCCTTCCAAACCCTCTCGTTATACTAACTATGGTTAAAGAATCAAGAATCACAGCTGGCCTGATTAATAACAATGTCCTGCTTGAATAAGTGTAATATCATTTATACTTTCATGCTTGTATTGCTTGATATATGTTGATGTGTAGGATGACACATTATTGAAATCAATAAAGGATTTTCAGAACTTGGAATTTATTTTATGGTACCACTGGGAGGTTGTGCAGGGCCCAGAGTAAGGGAGACCATATGACATCATTAAGTTTTCCCCACCCGATTAGCACGTTTGACGCCAGCTGACAACCGTAAATTTTGTCTCCGATTGCTCGGCTGCTAGCCGGGCTGTACTATAGTATACTATTCGTTCAAAAAATGTGTGCATTTCAGAGACTGGTTCTAGAATGTTTCATAAGCAGAAAATCACCAAAATTACATTAAATTTTCTGAAAATCGTTGAAATACATCTAAATTCATCTTCCCAATGCATACAGCTAGCTATGCGACAGGTAAATAAACGAGAAAAAAAATTACGGCAAAGAGAAAAATTGAGAAATATCCGTGCTCACTCTGAGATTCGAACTCACAACCCTCAGCATACACGCTGAGTGTTGTTCCCCTGCGCCACCACGTCTTACATGGAAAATATGTTAATTTATTGTATATATAGAGGTTATTCTTAGCCAGCGCGATGTATGATTGCATAAATAACTACACCATTGTACACGGCCAAGGGTACAGTACCAGCGGAGTCGTATCTACTCTTTAATACAATATTTACAATACATCACAGCATTGATCACTGTTACTACCCGGGGTTATGTAATACAATACTACAATGCAATACGACTGTCAGCCAAGTCTGTAAGTCGGTAGTATACTACAATACATCACAGCTACCAGCTGACAATACGGCTATCAGCCGGGCCTGTCTGTAGTATACTATAGTATACTACAATACATTGCGGGTACCAGCCGGCAGTACAGCTATCAGCCGGGCCTGTCTGTAGTATACTATAGTGTACTACAGACAGGCACGCGGGTGATAGGCAAATAAATAAAATATAATATATTACAGTATAATATAATATATTATTAATATATTATTATTACCATTAAATAACCCCGGCTGGTAGC